TTCGGGAGGATGAGAGGACCCTTGAACTTCCTGTGCATTGAGCACGACCGGGGGGCCGAGCACAATAACGTCGGCAGCACAACAGAAGAAAAAAAAAAGAGAACGAAGATTTTATTCGATTTTTCGCCTTCGTTGAATAGTGCACGGAAGGAAATCGACTAATTCAATTTGCTGTGATGTGCCAGATCTCAACGGGAAAAAGATAAAGGCGAGCCTCGAGTAGGAGAGAAATGCCGGAATAGTGCAAATCTCGGTGGTCCCTTCTCGCACTCCCCCCTCCCCCCCTATCCAACGAAGGTTTCACGGTTAACAATGCGAGTCGCATTTCTTTTTCATGGATGTGAGAATCAAATCCAGATTGAAATGTAGGTTAATCTGACAAGACAGAAGTGAGCAATATAACTCAATCACAAGACGTGTCAATCGAGAGTTGACAAAAATAAAAACGGATTTCCAATTAATGCATTCCAGATTAGTTCAAACTAAACCATCGAAACCAAAAGCATTATGTGTAAACAACATTTCTTTGAAACATTGCTCAAACGCAGTGTGTCATTTTCAAAAAAATTTCTTTCCGTGGTAGATTACTTACAATATCCCTTTACTTTCAATTTACAAAGTGTGCTAACAGGCGGAAATTTGTGTATTCACATATATTATTTACGCCATTCATCAAATGACACAAACGCAAACTCTCTCGAGGATTTGCACGACGTGCCGAACCATTAAGATTCACCGCTCACTCTCCGCCACCCACGTAATCTTAAAAAGTGTTTTGCGCCTCGTAAAACTGTTCGCCGACCGGATTGGAAATGAGCCGAACTCGACAGCATTAACCTAATAACATATTTTCGGTTTCGAAGTACATATATAGCAGCAAGGTCATAAAGAAATTGTGGCGAAATGAGAATGGAGTTAGGTGTTTTGTGTCTTCCAGTGAGTCGGTCGCCAAACAAAGCCATAAATCAGTTTCGCGGCCAGTCCGCACCATCATCTTTTTTTTTGTGAACCATCAAATTAAAAATCTAGTCGAAGCCGATCGAGGAAAATCGTGGCGTCGGTCGTTGTATTCGTCGACGAATCGGAAAAAAATCTTCGTCAATAAGTTGTTCATGTGTTCGCACGTGTCGCCGTCACCTGCGCTGTCCCAAGATGGTCAACATATAATTAGGCGCTGCGAGTACAGTATGCCTGCCAAACTCCCCCCCCCTCCTCTCCTTTCGTTCTTCTCCACCACCCCATTTTCCCGACCTCCATTGTTTGCAGCGACCGCGGTGGGCGGTCTCGGATGAGGACCTGTTGAATCCCATCCACCCAGGCAGCATCGGCCCCGTCGTCATCTACGGGATTGAGACGGGTCAGTTGGCTGTGCGACGTCGTCCCTTTTTATTATTGTAAGCCTATTCACGCATCGCTGCTTGAATGGAGCATTTTGGAGAGGGGCGAGTGTTGCTAGAGCTCCACCTACTAATAACAATTGGGCTTGTCAAATTCGCAACTTGGATTTGCAACGCCCTCGTCGCCTTCCCATACCCGATCTCTCAATCTCTTCTTATTCCATTTTCACGCGACGCCTTCCTCGCTAGTCTTTCATCAACTGATTTCGATTCTTATTCTTCGACGACGTCCATTTCGTTTGTTTATTCGATTAGTAAAAAAAACATCCTTTAGTAATACGGTAGCCAAACAAGGATATGCGCATGGAGTGGTAGGTGTAAATGTTTTGTGATTTTCAGATAGTAATTTTAAGGGATGTGGGGGGAGGGATTAGTAAATCAACTGTTGTTAGAAAATTCGAACTTCTAAGTTTGGATTAGAGATCAAACGCTTTGCTAAGTTTGTTTAATATTTGATGCGCGTCGAGATCAAAACGCAATTCGTCGTGTTGTTTTCTCGATGCACAATGGGATCGTAATCGAGCCCCGTCTCTCATAAACCGAAACGTTGGCAGAAGAGCATTGTGAAACGCGAGCAGTCTGCCCGGTCGGCTAGGTGGTGCTTTTTATTGTCGTCGACGACGTCCTTGTATGTTTCCGCGGTGTGAAGCCACTAGACGCAACGGGAGGGGAGGGAGTGCGCTTTTTATAAAGTGGTATCGTGTTTCGCATTGAATTTCTGAAAAGCATCACTTACCTGTCCAAACAATATCTAGATGATTCGGAAATGAAATTTCGAGTGCCGCCGGTAGACGCGAAGATCAAAAGATCCATTCCTATTCATTCTCAAAATTGTGTTGTCGCACGTAATTATGCGACCTCAAATCGGAAGGAAGTTGGTAGGTGGCAACGAGACGACAAAAGGTGCATTTTCGGTGGCGCAGGTGCTCACCGCGCGTTGCTTGAATTATTCGCGTCGCATACCCAATGAAATGGAAATAGCAACTTCCTTCATTCTCATTTCGAAGTCCAAGGACGGAGCGCCTCGCCTCCTAAATAATTTATAAACTCTTCTCACAAAACCATGAACGAATTAGCGGGCGTGGAAATTGGAGAGATGCTCTAAGGAACTTGCATTAGCGGTGAATATTTCATTAATTTTTTAGTTGCACTCATTGATACGGTTGGCTACACTTAAGAGTGTCAATTGAGACCAATCGTATCGAGTTGCAAAACCGACTGCGAATTGTTCCATAGAAATTTCAAACCAATTTTATTGGGTGGTCGCTTTGTTCAAAAGGTTTTGCTATCTACCACCGCAAAATTATCACAAAGGGTGTTTAAAGAGCTAGCCGCAGTGCTGATACAATCTTAAATTATTAGATATAATTTTAAGCGTTTAATCGGACTTTGAAAATTTCAATATTCACCTTGCTGAGATTCTATAATTGAATTCGATTTGCATAATTAGCTTGTGAAACGCAAGAAATTTTCGCGATAAGCGTAACAGGTTGTAAACACTTTGATAATTTATTCATAGTCGTTTTACGACTCTCTTTTTTTTTATTTCATTGCCCTCAAATTATGATATGAATCAAAGTGAATGGTTTTTAGTTTTCGTCCGGCGACCGAGGGTTCACATCAATATTTTTGTCGGCTGCATTACTCGACATCTGCTTTTGCGAAAATGCAACATTTGTTTCAAATTAACTGTCTCGGAGCTCACCCAACGAATATTTTGATGAGGTGGACGGGGGGGGGATGTGCCATAGCGCGGTCCCAGACATTGAAAATTGTAATATCGGAGGTATGACGAGGTCCTCCGGAGGATTTCTCGTATCCCTTTGTTATAATGCAGCCTTCAAGTTTTTGTCTCGCACTAAACGGTTTCGCTCCTCATTAAAATACTTTCGTCGCCGTCCATTTCGTGTCAAGAAATTGATGTATGTGGGCTTCGGTCCCACACACCATATTTCATGTCAGCGACAAACACATATGTGTTTTATACCATGGATAAATATGCATGTATGTGTGCATCGTGTCCCTGACGAGACATGTGCACCTCATTAGTGAGCTTAATTACGACTTTCATGTTTTCGAGCTCGCTGTTTTGCACACATACATACACATACACACACACACACCTCGCGGCGAGATTTAATCAGGAGGGCAGCGTCTCCCAGCCAATCAGAATGCCAACTAGATAAACCCCAGCGTGATATGACCTTTTCCCCTGGGTGTTAGTGGTGGGGGGGGGAAGGTAATGGGATTTTGCGATAAAATCATGCTGTTTGTTGTTGTTGATTTGAGAAACGATGTCGTTTTCAGATCTTCTGATTTTACTTCAATTATTTCAAACTTTCCATTACTTTGAAATGGCCTTGGGTTCTCGTTAAAACTTTGTTCCCCTTCATTCTGCCATCCCCCGCCCTAAAACAAGGTCATGGATGTTAACAATTTCATAACTGAGTTGCGAACACTGACAGGAGCAAAAGTATCCGTTTGTTAGGTACGTGCATTGAACACGGTCAAGCATTTTGGAAAAAAAATGAGACCGAGGGTATGGAATTCGAAACCCTTCGTTTGGTTTCCCGTTTCACGTCTTTCCATTATTAAATTGGGGGGCTTTGGAGAAAAAAATATATGGCGACATTATTCGAATTGTGTGTTTCTTATAATAACAAAGAGAGCAACTGCAACGAATTATGGATGGCGACCTCTCGCTGCGTCTCAGCAGCCTCTTCGAGCAGACCTTTTGCTCACACTTGTCTTACTTCTGGTTGAACATTCAGCGGAGCACATACTTACATTCAATCATCTTTTTTCCGTTAGAGGCTTGAAAAATAAAACGAGTAAAATGCAATTAAGAAGGCACTTTTTGTAATTATACCAAGTTGGGCGCCATGATCCGTTGATCACCACAATTTCTCATCAGTCGTCGCCGTCGACTCTTATTCGCATTTCATCGAATTTCCCGAAATTGCAATGCGACATGCGATTTGACCCTTATTTGCCGCGACGCTTTTTATTCAAACATCCCTAGCCTCTCTCTCAAAAAAAATTGTGTTGTATTTTGTTTTGTCTATGGGTTTTAGTCGAAGGTAAGAGGCGCCAAAATCGATCCACTCAACCTACCTGAAGACTATTTCAACGGGGCGACAAAAGAAAGGAAACATTGCCCCCACCCCTGCCTCATCATCATCATCATTATCATCTCTTCTTTTTTTCGGTCTGCAGCCCATTGTTGTTAAACTACTCAATCATTCGTCGCGGGTGGTCCCTAAGAGAGCGAGAGCCTGCAGTGGCGAATTTTTTTGTTGCCTTTTCCTGGTTTTCGCCTCAACTTTTTGCCAAAAAAATAGTTTCTTTCTCTCTTTGAGAAATTATTGAAATCGAACCACATCCATTTGATTCAATTCAATTCTATGGAATTGAATTTCAGTGGGGGGGGATAGGAGGAGGAGGTCCCACCCCATTGCACAATGTTTGTTTTCAATTCGCCCCTCCCTCGGAAAAAATGGTTAATCCATAAAAGTCCTCGAAATACGGGGAGAAATATAATATCTTTGATTGTTTTGAAGTGAGGCTGGTTGCAAAAATAGTTTATAATTTTTTCTTTTCAAAATGCCATGCCAGCTGCCTACGAATTTAGTCATAAACAAGGTCTGGTGGGCGGTGCTGGCGGGCGGCCGTCGGGCCGACCCAACCCAACCCAACCCAACCGAGCTCAGTATCGGCCGTGGTCCAGCCCCTTCGCCGACACACTCATACATAGGAAAAACGCAGATTTTAAGCAAGTTGTAAATCGCAAGCGTGCCAGAAACACAAATCTCGACGCATTCTTTCACACTCGCCTCAGGCCGCCCTACTCCTCCTCCTCCTTTCGTCTTCCTCCCCCAGCTCCACTTTTTTGCACCACTTGAAAAAAGAAAAGAAAAAATTCACAACAATTTTTTCCTTCCTTCCTCCCTTATCTCCTTATTTCTTTGAAATCCGATCTTTGTTGCATGGCTTTCCTTATTCAAACGTTGTTGTTTTTTTTGTTTTGGCTTTATGAATAAGACGGAAGAAAATGGTTGCATTATTCCATCTATTGTTACAGATTCGGTCATCTCCAACTTGGTGAACTAACGCTATACGGGGCTTCAAAAATGTTGTCGTACTACAAGGGAATTATGTAAGTTGCATTATTTTTTTTTGATACATTTGGTGACAACATAAAATGCAATTAATCGGAGGGTAGTGCTACAGCGAGCCATATGAAAATTGAATCAGTGTGGCAGATGTCGTATGCATGTGCGCAATCACACATGTCGCCAACGTTCTCCGATGACCGCAGGTGTCTTCCACTTGGAAACGAGGTCACCAGAGTTGAACGACTAATATAGTGTTAAACGCATTTCGCTAGTTTTTCATGTCTCGCGGCTGAACGAGAAAAAAAGTAATGGACGCCGATAGCCATTAAATGTGCCATTAAAAATGATTGATTTGGGCTCGCGAATTTCTGCACGCTGTTGGGCTCGTTAGCCAATTGCAATTTGATTTTTATCTGCCTTGCTCGCTAACTCGATGCGGCTCTCCCGAGAAATTCAAATGTTTATAAAAATCTATATAAATATCGAATCGAGTGAAAGAATCTATCAATTTCAAATAAACAAAAAAATTGTTAGTATCGAGTTTCGCCATCGTCGCCGTCACCACATTTTGCTGCATACATTGAACATTTTCGTGCTCAGTCGACCGTGTTTGTTTCCCATCAAATATATCGGCCTGTTGCCAGTCCAGGCGAGCACGTTAGAATCATTTATATAACGAGTGTTTCACTTCACTTCTCTGTCGCCGTCGTCGTCGTCTTCCTAATTGGCTTTTTTTCGAGGCATACGAGATGGGTGGGCGTGACACGACTTCATATTAAATGCATATTTTAATTAACACCCTTGAGTGTTTTCACGCACGGCTTGAAGCGAGAGCGACGCCGGGCCTCATCGTGATGACTGGAGGGGGAGAGGAGGGCGTGGCCAGAAACGCATCGGTCGCGCTCGTCCTCGGTGGGCGTCGCCATAACAAAATCAGAGAGAGAGAGAGAAGCTTCGAGCCGAGCAACAATCTGATTAGTTTGCCTCGCTGTCGCCTCCGATGCGCGTTTCCGTTTTACTCTCGTTACAGTCAACTCAGAAACAAAAAGAAAAACGAAAGCCTCGTCCATGAATACATTTTCCAAACTTCGTTTTCAGAGTCACGGGTAATAACAACAAGAACACCAATAACAACAATGACAAGAAGAAGAAGGAAGAAGAAGAAAGACGAAAGAAAAATAACAGTAATGGCAGAAGCAACAACGGCAGCAGTAGCTCGAGCTCGAGCTCAAGCTCAAGCTCCAACATTGGCAATCGCGCTACCGCGGCCATTGTCACATTGTTGAGAAAGGCTACCGTTGCTCCCAGCAAACCAGTAGTTGCGCTTCCATTGCCAAAAGAGGAAGAGGAAGATGATGGTCTTGAGTATATTGAGCTCGCTGAGGAAGCCGAGCAACATTTCTGTGCCACTGAAGAAGACATCGGAACAGTTGAAATTCTTGGAAAGCCGATTCCGAGAAGTCTTCCAGTTCCAATTCGCAAGGTGAATTGCATTTTTTTATTGTTCGATGACAATAATAACTGATTGCATTGCAGAAGAGAGTGCTGCCATTTGCCTGCAAACGCAATGCTCAATATGGAAGCTACACTCGTCCAGCGTAAGTGTTTCTTTTTTTTGCCCCTCGCTCTTCTTTTTTCCTCCCTTCACCCCATATATTCTCTAATATACTATTATTCACTATGCCGCGGACCGTCCCGCGCATCCCGTTGTCTCAATATGGAATGAAGGCAATATTGAGCAATGCGCATGTGCGGGACGGTCCTGTGCGCAGCACATTGCCTCGATTCCTGGAGAAAAAAAGTAACTTCTCGACGAAATGTCTCGAAATAAGCATAATTAAGTCGCAAAACGTGTCTTATTTCTAGGAACAGCTACTATCCATTCGGAAATCCGTTCTCCAACAACTACAGCGCCAACAGCTACATCTATGAGTATGAGGCAGCTGATCCAAATGATAAATGAAGCAAACAATTTTTCAGCGCGTTCCGTGAGATTTGCGAGGATCTCGATCGCAAGGACATCATTAAGCGCTTGGTGCCGCTTCTTGGCCTCGATGAGACGATTTTCTTCTTTGATTGCGAAACTCATACGATTATCTCGGAGAAGGATTTGTTGGCGCTCATTGATCGCCTTGGTAATCATGCACAAATAATGCAATACCAAATATTTATTTTGTAGAGCAGGAAAGATGTCGCGCAAATGGAACCGATCCAGCGCTTTTGGAGCAACATGGTCTGTGTTATTTTTTTTCAAAAAATCAATAACAAAATGACAATGCTTATTATTGCAGATTCGATCGCATTCCAGGATCGTCCGATTCCAATCTTTCCACTCGTCGGACGTCCAGATGTCTTCGATGTCGGATACTTCACCGATGACAAGGATAGCGTTGAGAACCATCCAAAGTTCCTCGACGTTCAGCCGTTCTTCGTTGCTCGCAAACGAGCTGTCGCTGCCAACAATCAAGTAGGCCTCTTTATCTCACTAGCATTTTTGGCCCTCAATGTTCACCTCATATTTCGCATATGTTGCAGGACATCGAAGACGAGCTCGTCCGCGGCTACGACATGAACATTCAGAACATCAATAAGCTTATCCGCCCATATCTTATTCAGCTCGAGGATGAGCACAACAAGAGAAATGACGCGATTATCGAAATGCTTCAGAGACAAGCTGACTATGATCCAGACCGCGATGAGCCATTCTAATTATGGAGTTGCTTCTTGTCACTCTCTCCCTCTCTCTCTCTTTCTCTCTCTGTCTATTACTATCCTCCATATTTTTCATTTTGTATTCATTGCATGCAATAACTTTTGGGAAATAAGGACAGTACCCTAAATTGTCTTTTTTTTAAACGAAGTCCATACTTTCCAAAAGTTTTATGATCATACTGACAGCTGCGCTGTTCAAGTACCTCTATTCATCCAAAACCAATATAGTCCACTATCCCTGTTAACCCTCATCAAATATGTATAGCCAAAAAGTGATAATCAACAAAAAAAATCCCAAAAAAAAATGTTTGAAGCAGTAGATTATGTAGTCAATCCTTTCATTTCCTTTTCAATGAATCACGGCATTCATGTTGCATTATGTAGTATAAGTGCCTATTTTTTTAGAGTCTAGTACTCATTCTTCTTTTTTCGAATAGTGCAATATAGTCAATCATTAATTAACCAAAAAAAAATCAAAATAACCCAAAAAAAATTAGCTCTTCTAGTAATTTAATTGTATTAATTTTGCAGTGTATTATTTTGTATTGTCTCATGTTTTTTCTGTATTCTCCTATCTCGAGCAAACTTCAGCAACCTGCTGCAATCTGACCGAATTGTGCTGGGATGATTGTCTGAATGCCGAAGATAGTGTTCTTCATGTTTCCAAATTTCAATACCATCCATTCCCTTGTCGTCGGCAGTATTAGCGTATAATACTCAATTTCAATTGTATTTAACCAATCTCGTTTCCCGGACAAAAGCGTTTGTCTCAGCAATTTTTTAATTTCTAAAAAAAATGTTATCCGACGAATCACTTTTGCCCGGCAAACGCGTATGACATCATTATCCTTTTCCTACGACCCCCGCAGTTTATGCGCATTTAACCAAATATGTACGTACTCGAGTTAGTACTCATAGTCAATCACAGTCCCTCTCCCCCGTTTCTTCATGATCGCTATCATATTTTTATGGCTTTAATTGCTAAACTAATCAAGCAAACCGAGAAGAAAATCTCAAGCGCTTCCAGAGACCTATTAATTCTTGTCGTCTCCCAACCAAACAACAGCAACCAACACCTCGCAAATGTAAATGCTTACGCATACCAATTAACCCCCACACACATTCTATTTACTCACACCCCCTCCCACCAAAAAAAAAAGATAAGCATGCTCTGTTGCGATTTGATCGCAACGGATATTTCCTGACGCTCAAGGCATTTTTCATTCAAAAATTGCCATCTTGGGTTTTATTATCTTCAATGAATGGCATCTGCCAATTTCGTTTTTGTCGGTATTAAACCCTTTGGGATTCTATCCGTTGCCAAATTCGCATTGCAAATATATAACCCTCCATTTCTTGGCAATCTTGATATATGATAATCCCCACAGAAACCAGTCTCTCACTCTTTCTTGCTTTTCAATTTTCATAATTCTTTTTTCTTCCAAAAAGGAATGTTGCTTGCGTAGAATTCAAGTTAAATTGTTTCAATTTTTGCCGAGTTTTCATATCTTTTAACACAATATGTGATGTAACTCTGTAGCATTTGTAGTAATCAATAAAGGCAACGCAAGACAAAAAAAAATTATGAACACCTCTCAGAGGCATTCTGCAAATAAATCTCAATCTGATGATTTTCAGTTTTTAGGACTTTTGAAAATGAAGCTGCGAAACACTTCTACGCAACTGTCAGTGTTGTAAGAATTACAGAAACAACTATATAATTTATCAAATTAAATATGTCGAGTTTCTTAAATAATATATTCTATTGATTTAATAAAATCGTATGGACAAGCTGCATTAACACAAAATTATCTAGAATCGTGCTTTTCCGGAGTAACTTTCATGTTACTATGAATTTGTTTCATCATATGCATCTCACATCGAAAAGTTTTGTTAAAATTTTGTCAGTAGTGTATAAGTCTTGGAGTAAACAGCTCTTTCAAATATTTTATTTTTATTTAAATATATTATAAAAATATAAATGTTACTAGTTCTTTTTGTCTTAACTGAAATAAACTTTCAACATTTCTACTTGCATATACAAGACGCAGCTGATTTTTTCTTTATTCACCTGCTTAATTTCTATGTGGTCTTATAACATACATCACATGATTTTTATTTTAACTTAGCAATCGTTAACTTTCGAGGGTCTTATTTATCGTCTAACTTCAGATTTTCAGATCGTCTCATTCATTTTACAACACTGAGTCCTTATGCTATATATCGACTATTTGCCAAGAGTACCGAAAAACGATAGCCACAATGTTCATAACGAATTCGTTCGCGGACAAAGGACAAACCACATCGCTGTAAATATTCTAATAAATCACCGCGATTGTCAATATTTCGCCGAGAAGATTCGCAAAATTAAATTTCTTGTTCGCAAAGTGACGAAACCAAAAAATGTCAAAAAATTGGTTCCCAAAATCAGACCACTGATTTGCATTTAATTATTATAATTGATTTCTTGTACTCGTACGATTGTTCAAAATTCAATTAAAGATATAATTACAGGGTGCGCCATAAATACGGAGCCGCTTTCAAAACGGTGTAAAAAGATTAGTTTCAAAGATTTTTTTCTGAGATTCAACCAAAATGTTTATTAAATTATAAGAAAGAAAGTAGCATTAACAGTTTTCGAATCTTCCGCATTTCACCATGATCACAGCTCGGAGTCTCTTCGGGTAGTTGTCGATGACGGCACGCAGGTAATTGTCGTCCAAATCGTCCCATATGCATTCTCGAGTGCGATCATCAATGCTCCCAAATTAGGATAGTTTTACGTGGGAACCTTCTGGGTCAAATATCCCCACACCGAGAAGTCCATAGGGTTCAAGTCCGGGCTGCTTGCTGGCCATTCCGCGGCTGTGATGAAATGGGGGAAATGAGTCGCGCACCACTGTTGAGTCGCTTTGGCACGGTGGGCAGGTGCCCCGTCTTGCTGGAACGTCCAATCTCGATTCCCAAAGTGAGATTGAGCCCATGAAGTACTGCCGATTCGAGAATTTTTTCCATGTAGTAATTGTGATTGATTTTGGCGCCCAGATTCACGAAAACCAGTGGTATCTTCCCATCAGAGCAGATACCTCCAAAAACCATCACTGAAGCCGAGTGGGAAGTTTTATTCAAAAATTTTCCCTTCTTGACATCTGTCTAGAAGTCCTTAGCAATGATTCTGTGGTTTTGGCCGTTCTTGTTGGCTTCCACAGCGAATATCTTCTCGTCAGTGAACAAAGTTTTCAAGTGCGTGCCTTGACGCGTGTCACGAAGAAGGGCCTGTGCTTTGGTCACACGAAGAGCTTTATTTTTCTCCGTAAGGAATGCTCCGTTTTGAAAACGATAAGGAATCATACGAAGCTTGTCTCTGACCACTCTTCTCATCGAATTTTCACTCATTCCAAGCTCCAGTGCCATCCTTCTCATGCTTCTTTCCGGATTCCTCCGAATGCGCTCCCTGATAACTTTCACCACCTTCGGAGTCGTCACAGTCAGTGGGCGTCCAAATCTCTGCTTGTCTTTCAAAGTACCAAGCTTTTTGAACCGATTGAGAGTTTTGTTCACCACCGATTTAGCCACACCGAGCTTCTGAACGATCTCTGCCGAACGCATTCCAAACTTCGATAACTCAACGATGGTAGCCCTGAACGGGGAAGCTGCTGTTATAACCTTAAAACAAATTATATCGAGCTGGAACTTAACAAACTAGGAAAACATAAAATAAACTTTAAAAAAAATAATTGTGCGCAATTAAATGGGTACTGTAGGCTCCAGAGTTGACGCAAAGTTGCGGCTCCGTATTTATGGCGCACCCTGTAATTATACAATATTTGTTGGCTTGAATAAAACTAATAGATTTACCTTCACATGACCTGGAAAAGGCCATTCGACTATTTGACAGAGAATCATCGTTCTTAGCAAGTTCATTTGATAATTGTAATAATCTTAAGGTTTTATTCCTACCGCATATTACGAAAGATTATTATCTTAAACATGTACAGGCATTGAGCTTTTTTTTACAACGCATGACTCCAGGTGTAACCTATAATCAAACTAATATATTCTTATTGACCCCGTGCAAACACGGGATGATTTAAAAGATTCATTGAGAAAGCATTTAATCTGGCAAGAATTACTTGCTTTGGAGTTTTTTTTCTGAAAAAAATATATTAAACAAAAATGAATAATTTTGTATATTTAACAAAAAAACCATAGGACAGGTTATTTAAAAAAATGTTTAAACAATTTTGTAAACGCTTCGATTATTTTTATGAATGTGATGTATGTTATAAGACCCCATAGAAATTAAGCAGGTGAATAAAGAAAAAATCAGCTGCGTCTTGTATATGCAAGTAGAAATGTTGAAAGTTTATTTCAGTTAAGACAAAAAGAACTAGTAACATTTATATTTTTATAATATATTTAAATAAAAATAAAATATTTGAAAGAGCTGTTTACTCCAAGACTTATACACTACTGACAAAATTTTAACAAAACTTTTCGATGTGAGATGCATATGATGAAACAAATTCATAGTAACATGAAAGTTACTCCGGAAAAGCACGATTCTAGATAATTTTGTGTTAATGCAGCTTGTCCATACGATTTTATTAAATCAATAGAATATATTATTTAAGAAACTCGACATATTTAATTTGATAAATTATATAGTTGTTTCTGTAATTCTTACAACACTGACAGTTGCGTAGAAGTGTTTCGCAGCTTCATTTTCAAAAGTCCTAAAAACTGAAAATCATCAGATTGAGATACAAGCACCAAGAGTTAAGAACAATAAGACCAATTTTGGGGAGCTCGGTCATGTAGAAAAATGAAGACCACAATCTCAGCTAAATGTTGGATGGGCAAAATGACTATTCTTCTTCAATGACTAGTTAATTAGGTTTCTGTTCTGCGCAGATGCTTAATGTAAACGTTTGCAAGAAAATCTACAAAAACAATGGGCCGAACCGGGGATTGAACCCGGGACCTCTCGCACCCAAAGCGAGAATCATACCACTAGACCATTCGGCCACACTTCAAAAGCTTCTTTCTTAAGTATATGAAGCTGCCGCCGCAGCCCTCTGCTAACCTGCGCCTCTCCGACAATGCACTGTCTAGCAAATATGAGTTGTGTTCCCAAGATTCGATGTAGATAGCATTGGTGTTGAATTATTATTTAAACAGAACATTTAAATTGTCCTCTTCATTCACAGTGTTCAAGAATATAAAATCTATAAATTCAATTAAAAAATTATACGTGTTATAAATGTTTTCGGTATATAAAATTGATCAGTTTTTTTTCCATTCAAATGAGTTATCCGGAATATTGTAAATTTCACTTCTACATACTTATCAATGAACTATTGTGCAAAAGTTATGCATTTCTGAATAAAATATAACTATATTGTTGTAACTATATTGTTGACAAATTTCTTTGTGGAAATAATTAATTATTTGAATTGCACTTGGGGACTCGTATGGAAAACCACATGTTATTTTAAATAGTTTGGTCATTACGGAAATTGTCGAATGACAGTTTATTTTCAGCTCGTTTATTATGGGCGGGACTAATGAAAAGGCATTCTGCGTTATTCAAAATTTTCAAGCTCGTGAAGTGGGTACCAAAAAAAGCCGACATAGTTATTATGTATCGAGTTCCACCTGAAAAATTGACTTTTTCCATTTCTCCAAGATTTGTAATGCTTAAAAACCGGTGGTTGAAATGTTTGGAATTCGAAAAATTTGAAATTCTCAAAACGATAATGTTCAAAGGAACAATTGCATGAAATTACAGCATTGTATGAGGAAACAATGCAATAATTTAAAAAAGGTTTTTGAATTTTCAAAAAAACGATGGGCCGAACCGGGGATTGAACCCGAGACCTCTCGCACCCAAAGCGAGAATCATACCACTACACAAGTAAAACGCGGTGACTCTGCGGTGGCTTCAAAGTGGGTAAGTGTACGCGATGGGTCCAAAATGGGTAGAATGTCAGCCACAATATAGCCATGGCGTTTGAACATACGCGATGGGTCTAAAATGGGTTGAATGTCAGCCACTATATACCCATGGCGTATCAGCAAAATTTATGGGCTTTCAAATATACGCGATGGGTCCAAAAAGGAACAATTGCATGAAATTACAGCATTGTATGAGGAAACAATGGAATAATTTAAAAAGGTTTTTGAATTTTCAAAAAAACGATGGGCCGAACCGGGGATTGAACCCGGGACCTCTCGCACCCAAAGCGAGAATCATACCACTAGACCATTCGGCCATGTTTGGGAAGCGCACCGCATTGTTCATACGTATAGGCGAACGGCGTTGGCCGTTCCTCCGAACTACCCTCTTGCAACAATGAACATTTCTCAATAAACCCGCGTAAGACGCTCTCTCATCACTGTTCTTCCTTGTTCCTTCAAAAACTTCACCGAGATGAGTGTAGCTATTTTGAATGATTGTGATGAATCGCAAGTTTCAAAAACAACTCTGACATGTGGTTTTCGTTGAGATTAAAAAAAAACCCCACGAGTCATCCCATCAATTTTGTAGAAATAAAAACTTTGGTTGGTCACAACTTTTTTTTTTCAAAATTGCGATAAATATTTAAAATTTCAATAGGCGGCAATATGAAAAGAAAATGTATCAATTGTTCGATTTGTGCGCATAATTGCGTCACAAAGATGAGAACAATGCTTGGGAATCGTTTCATCGACAGCCTTGAGATTAAAAAAAACAAAAGTTTCAATTTTTCTAGAATTCGTTAACTTTGTCAATTTAATCTAGTTAAATGTTATGATTGGCAACATGACCGCATGTTTATTATAACTAGGACAATATGCGGTTTAGCACAGGTGAAAAAAAACTGAAATGTCAAGATTGCAGGAAAATCCCAGCTCAATTTAACATTTTCACTATATATATATATATATATATATAGTTTTGATTTCTGAGTCAAACATATCTATCAAAATCTATTATTTTGATAAAGTCACGTAAAACGATAGATATTGAGATTATATGTCGTAGTTCTACGAAAAAAATGAAAGATAATTCGAAATGCAAATAATATTTAATCGTTTAGTTTAATTCAATTTATCTTTCTAAGTCAGTCCGGATATCACTTAGTAAGAATCACGCGGAAGCTCTTACAATTCTCGGCGAATGATGAAATAATCGGTTAATACTCTATTTCCTATCGTAAATCGAAACGTTTATTATTCCACGAGCCTTAACGTCAATGAATATTTTGAAAAAAAACATGAATGGATGGCAAGTTAAAGAAAACTGTAAAAATACAAAAAAAAGAAGCAAAATTACAGAAAATTTTCAAGCAGGATTAGTAATAATTGGGAGGTGGCCACTATATTTCTGAAATTTTGACTAGTCTAAAATTTTCAATTTTTTCTTTTTGAAAAGTGCAATAGATGAATGCTCCAAATATTGGGAGGAAGAGTACGTTGAGTAGTTGCTGGGAAGGAAGTTGCTTAAATGATGATGTTAGTTAAAATGATATGATGCCGAAAAAAAAGATAGGACAGGCCAGTTCAGAATCATATTAAACAAAAAAAAATATATATACGTTTTAAAAAACATGTAATCGCGGTGAGATTCATATGTGGTGGAGGAATATTGATTGGACAAGTAGAACACATTATGCACCTCTATGAGAAAGCATTGGTCCACTTTGAATAAATTCTGGTTCAGGGCTTCATATCCATTTTCTCAACATTCGAAAAATGTGAACCGCATTCAGTAAAGCTGGTATGAGAGAAACAATTCAATTCATGATTATTGGGTGACTTATGACACTGGTTACGATGAGCGTTCATCCAACTACTCTGCGGTTTGAAGCAGATGCCCTTGATGGTGATGTTGAAGCTCCGAGAGCAAGTTGATATTGGGCAATCCTGCGATTTCAAGTTGTTGGCTGTTGAAGCTTGACTCCTCGTTCCAGTTCGCCTCCTTCTTCTTCATCATTGTCTTATACTCGTTGATTCGAACTTTTTTGCCATCGACAAGGCAGGTTCTCTTCGGACGCGGCCTGAAACATCAACCGATTTTTTAACGATTATAATATTGCTAAGTTATACCGGTATCTGTAATCAGGGTGTTGCTCCATATGAAGTTTGCTCAATCTCGATTGCTCTTCATAGTATGGCTGTTTTTCGGTGTTGCTCATCGCTTTCCAACGCGAGCCCAAAATTTTCGAAATGTTGCTGTTGTGCATATCCGGGTAGGCCTTGAGAATTTTGCGGCGCTCATCACGTGCCCAAACCTGACAAATTGTGCGTCCATTAAACTTTTGATAACAATCCCCCCCTCTCTCAAGTATTTACCATGAACGCGTTCATTGGACGCTTTATATGATTTGGCGATTTGGCTTGCGGGCGTGGTGTGTTCACTTCGCTGGTGACCGATACATTTCCTGGTGTGCTCTTGCCGCTCGATGCTGGTGAGATGTTGTTGTTCATCAATGAGGCGGTCACTGAATTATTGTCATTGTCTATGATGCGCTTCAATGCATTACCATCTGCTCCAAAGCTTGGCTGAATGTTGTAAGGAAGTCTGAAGTTGGCCAACGGCGATTGTGGTACAGTTCCGGTTGGCGACGGCGATTCTTTAGTTCTCTTAATAGTACGATATCATTTTAAAACCCGTTCAATGCGAAATGATATTACCTTGGACAAGTTCAATGGCGAATCAATCTTCTCGCCGCCCACACTTTCCAAAAACTTGCTGGCCATTGTTCGTTGTAATGCCGCAACGCCATTGCTCAACGGTGTTTGCAGTTGGCTGAGCAGCGACGGATTCAATGCGTTGCCATTGAACAGCGATTCATAGGCGAAGCCCGGAAACAGGAACGGCACTTGATTCGAATTGCTCAAAAGTTGCGACATGATCTGGAATTGGCGTGCGGTTTGCGATTGCTGCTGCTGGAGGAGCTCCTGTTGGCGGAGAAGTGTTTCCGAGTCGAGGCCGGCGTTGGAAAGCATCTATAGAAAATAAGAAAATTGATAACAAGATGCGAATAAATTTTTTTTTGGCGAAAATGATTTCAACTAAAAACGCCAATTTCGCTGGCCACGCCCACTTTTTCTTAGGCGGCCTGCCTCAAAGCCATATGGCAAAACAATGAAGCGATTATGTAACAAATTATTGCGCACCGAATTCATATCGTGTTGCTCCTCCTCCTCGTCCTCCTCTTCCTCGTCTTCCTCTTTTAAATCTTCTTTCGATGGCGATAATTCGTCGGAGCAAATTCGATCCTTAAGCGAATGCAATTGTTTGATGATGTTTTGGAGGAGATCGGCCTTCGATTCGGTTTTCTCAACGCTTCCCAACACCTCTCTGCAAATCAATTATTGATGTCAGCATTATTTACGTCATGTTCGACATGCCTTAGAATATTTCCGTCAATAACGACCATGCAACCTTGGTCGGTTTGTGCAAGAATATCGGGATAGTCGGTTAAGCCGGTTGTCGCCGAGGTGCTGAAAATCAATGATGCGAAATCGAAACCATAAACCGAAATCAAATCGCAAACAAAAATGGCGAATTGGGCGCGCGACGATTATCAGAAATCGAATCAAAAACGGCCATGATACCGACAGCAGCAGCAGCATTATCAAAAAAAAAATAGACGAAACAATGTTTTTGGCAACATCGAGTTCATCGGAAAATTGACTGGTAGAACACCAAAAAAAAGATTTTATCAAATAGATTCGTTATCGCATTGAACACAGCAAATTCATCTTATCGAGATTGTTGCGGCATTTGACTCGAGGTTTTTTTTTTCAAATCTGCACATCAATTATTTCGGACACGAAAACAATGTCGGTGGAATTGTTGGGTGTTTTTTGTTTCAGACAACAACGCACTGAAATTTCAATTCTTCGTTTCACCTTTCACTTTTATAATTTCTTATCACTGTGAAATGATTTCGCAAGTCACACTTCTATTTTTTTTTGGATTTCTGTTTATAAAGATGCAATTGGTTAACCGTAGAATTGCCGATGCGGGGGATGAGAATGTGTGACGATAAGGAGTTGTTCAGAAGAATAAAAAAATTTTTACTGACATTGTCAGGCTGTGCAAGGCACAACACCCGAAATGGTCGTTGATAATGTTTGATGATTTCCTATTTATGATAACTCGCGAGCATTAATGGAAAAAATTGTGAGTAAGTTCGGAAGAATGGAAAATCTGATAAAGGCGTCTTCAATAAAATGCTTGAAATTTTATTTTTGGAGCTCGCGATTATTTAAAATTAGCCATGTAATATAAAAAAAGCCACAGATGGAATATTTAAACCGAAATAAAAATGTGGAAATGTTTTAAACATGAAAACTCGAACACTTTTTCTGCGGAAACAATAAAATCAAGAATTTTGAAAGAAAAGTGCAAAATTCGAGACATACAGTTCATTGTCTCTTTCTCGTTCCCGATAAGGCCACATTTTTTACAACACCCAGAACTTAATTAATCAATTTTTTTTTGTGAAAATTGCTACTTGATTATGCAATTGATTGAAAATGGAAACCTTTGAGAGTTAGTCGTGAAATGTTCAAACTTACCTCAAATTTTCAACAGAAAGTTATGCAACTAATTTTTCATTGATAAAATGTCAGAATTCGCTAGAAATAATAAAATATGCAAAAAATCCGAATACATGTGCTTTTTTTTACATTTTCGTAGGTGGCCGCGCATTTTTTTTTTGAGATTTCGTTTGTTGAGAATTTGATATGCAGTTTATTGCGCTTTTCTACACTGTTCGATTTTTATAGTATAAGACGAAGATCGAGAAGCTTCCCAATAAAGATTTGTCATTTGTTTTCGCCGGAAATGGAACGTCTCAAAAATCTCGATAATTTACATAGTCTTTGCTCTGAAATCTCAATGCCTACATGAAAATACGCAACTCGATTGGCACAATAGCGTAAAAGGACAAATTGGCTTTGTTATATGGAATGCGGCTTCACATAATAATTATCATTGGTCCCTCCACTTCAGGCCCAATATCAATTCTGTGCATGCTCTCACTCATCTTCTGAACAACAACGTTTTTCAATTTAATGAGCCCCCGCGCGCGCAAACGAAATAAAAGAAAAGTCTAATATATATTGTGTGTCCGACTGTCAGTCGAACCATCACCGCATTCACTTGTCACTCATTATCCGTTTGGGCTCAATGCACGCCTCTTCTCTTCAATATGCCTTATTGCAATTTCAGCTGTCAGCTGGCAAAAAAAAGTTTTTTGCAAGGCCGTCAGAGAAAAAAGTTGTGGGAGGGGGATGTAATATTGTTTGGATAAACACAATTCTCTCAACTGTAAACGGAATAATGAATGAAGAAATTTGAGTAAGCGAAAAAAAAATGTGTTATGCGACAAAAGAGCCGGCGCACACGGCTTTATGAGACGTCTCACATCGCGTAACAAAACACAATGACCCTCGTTTACAGTTGGGCAGTAAATTCCTGAGTCATAAATGGTTTATAGCCCGCTGGCTTAAGACAAAGCACGATTTTTCGAACTCGCGGCGCGAACAAGAATTGTATATTTTATGACGTCATAAAAAATTTACAAAAATGATTTTTATGGAAAACACTAAAAACTATATGATATTTATTTTTTTGCTTCAAAACTTTTGACGCATTATTTTTTTGTCGCCGCGGGGTTTATGTATCTATTGTGTGGAGAGGAGTTGTCTGAATGACATAATGTTTTTGTTTCGATTGCACAAAAGTGCGCTGGACGCCCAGTGATTTATCTAGGATTCGAAGACTATTTTCGCGCGCTCCAACAAAGAAACAAAAGAAGGCACAGAGGGTTCTAATGGGAGTGTTGAATATCTGTCGCTAATGTGTGCGCAATAATTTTTTTTCCTCCGAAAACACCGATCCCCTCTGTGTGTTTCATTTTTAAACACAATCAAGGTTTCTCCTGTTTTTCGTACCATTCTCATCGCGTTGTTCTAAGGTAGAATGACTCAACGCTGTTCTCGAATGTTACCGTAATCAAATCGAATTTTTTGAATCTATCACTCTTATTATACCCTGATGTGAACCTCGTCGACACTCAATCAATCGGCTATCGAAACTTATTCAGCTGGTTTGGAAACTCGAACAAAAACTGTTGAACGCGAGATTGCAATTTTTTTGGGAGTGAGTTGACTGCTTGATAAAGCATGTCAATGTTTCAAAGACAAAAGACACCAATGGGGCACTTTTTATCGGTTGTGACCTCGTGATAATTGCAAGAAGCGCACTTGGTCAAACGGCCATTGTAGTTAGGCAAAAAAAAGCGAAACCAGCCAAAAAAAGTGATAATGCCATTTTTAAAATGTTGACAAGCGTTATCAAAGTGTCACGAACCTGGTGTGATCAGAAATGGTGCTGAAGCTTGATTTCACGGAAGTGTTGTGCGGCGAGTGAGCCGGATTCGCGGTGTCCTCCATTCCCTAAAATAAACAAATAAGTTTACTGGTTTGTAAAAAAAATAAAGCATGTGAAAGCGTAAAAGATGCGCTGTGTGGAAATGAAGACGATGAGCCGAAGAAGAAAAAGATGATGATGGGGTGAGGAGATTTGAAACCCTTGTTTGTTTGAAACTACTCTAAAGGGGGGTTGGGGGGGGGGTCGCCACCCTTATTAATTGTGCAACGGATATAATAGAATGTGAGCCATTCTATTTTGTTACTATTATTATTTTTATTATGCCGCTCATTCTTTTCGCGCAAATCTTTTTTTTCTTCATCTACACATCTCCGTCATTTTCGTGAAGATATTTGAGTAGGAGTGCACACCACCTACGATCCTAATTACCATATACGAATTATGTATGGATTTAGGAAAGCAAGAAGAAGAAAAAGAAGAAAGAAATAAGAAATGGCGACGATGATTGAATATTAATTGGCGTTGGGGATATTTGAATGATAACGTTGATGAAATCCAATACGAAGTGCCGCACAATGTGCAACGCCAAAAATCATCAGGCATCGTCTTCATTATGAACGCTCCGCCCCTCTCGGCGACACGCCACCCAACCAGCCAACCGGCGAGCTTTTGTCGTCCCTCCCGCCATTGCATGTTATTCCGGCAAGAGCAGCATAATGAGATTAATGGGGGAGGCGAAAAAAAAATTGAACGAGTGAGACGAGTGAAAATGGTGTTTGTGGGCGGAGTCGCGACCAGAAGCATCATCACGCCGGCCCCCTCTTGTTGACTACGGTAACTTGGCGGCGGGCCCCCCCTGCATGCCTGCATTGGGCGAAAAGAAGGAAAATAAATATGTGATCGTATGAAGAGTAATGATAATTGAAATCGTATTAATGGCAATGCCCGCTATCAAGCTTAACATTATGGATGAAAATATGAGAATGCGATTATAGAGAAATTGGGGTTTTATGATTATTTTCCTAATACTCAACAATATCGTTTCACAAAGATATGTTGATATTACATAAACCGCATTTCAATATTGTGACAAGAATGATATTAATTAGGCATAAATTAGCATAAATTAGAGAGCCGATTATAGATTTGCTTTTAAATGATAGAACTTCGAAAAGAACAACAATTTTAAGCATATATGTATTAAGTCCTAGAAGGTTCAAAACTAAATATATTAAAACAGAAATTTTAAAAAAATATATAATTAGACTGAAAACAGATGAAATGAAAAATTGTTTTCAAGATCGCTGATTATTAAAATAAGTAATCGCTACAGTAATCGAATGATTTTCTAGAAGTATAATTCTTATCGAACTTCGCTGGACTTACGCACGAAAAACTAATTAAAAGTTAATACGAGTACAAATCTGCTACTCAGATGTTTGCGGATTTGGCTCTGAAACCGAAAAAAGAACCCCCTTCTCCCGGTGTTTGAGACTATAAGAAAATAATAAATGGAAGGATGCTCCCGCTTTATTGTTATTTGATTCTGATAAGTTTTTTTTCGCCAATCCTACCAATATATCGATTCATACTTTGTTTTCTGAAATCACAAACAAAGAAGGAAAAGAGGCGAGAACGACTGACTCAACTTGACGGTGGGGTTTCTTTCTTTCTATTCATGAATGCCACGACCATGAAAATAAAACAAATAATCATTATAGATAGAAGAAAGAATTTGAACATGGTAGTAGGGGGAAATTGATATCCTAAGCTCGAACGTTGAAATTGTGGTCAATGAGAAATTTGATAGCTTTTGAGTACAATCACTATCGAGTTGATGTTATGCAGATTTGCGAATAGATGTGAAGCATTTCGACAAGAAATTCTAGCGGAAGCCGTTTATGGCATGCCCACTTAGCTCATTTCCGGGCGGTACCGATTGCGTAACGTGCGGTTAACGCGCCGCACATAATTACAATGCTCCGGCGATCTCCGTTCCACCCGCACATCACGTAATTAGAGAGGCTGGTTACACGTTCACCGGTAAGCCAAATCGGGATAAGATGCGCGAAAACACGGGCACGGGCTTCGATTATTCATAAGGAAACAAGGCAATGTCGGTTTCTTTGAAGTCTTCTCGGCTTTTCAATTTTTTTTTTCAAATTTCGCCAAACAAAACAAGACGTTGTTCCATTTCCCGCCGCCAACTCTAGTGCGAATTACAGTATACCACTTTCACTTAGCAGATGTTCTTGTTTCAACTTACATTCTCGGAGATGAGAAGATTCGTGGCTGTCAATGCCGATGGATGTTGATGGGTATTCATTTCGGGATTATTGTTTGATGAGCTCTCCTGCTCTTCACTCAGCTTCTTCGGATTCGCTTTTCTCCGATGGCTCATACTGCAATGAAAAAAAAGGAAAAGTCAATTCCTGCACACACTATAAGTGTAATATTATTAGGCACAAGAATGTATAATTTATTGAAAATCTAGAATTAGGATGCACACAATGCAAATGTACACCGAAACATGAGTGTTAATGAGGACGCGAGAAGGAGTAGAGTGAGGGTGCCGCCGATGAGAAGGGGCAACTCTCCGGTGCGCTTCTTCTCAATATTTGATTCTCATACCACACTTATTTGGCCAAGTGAAAATTATGAAGAAGCTCGGGAAGCGGCACCGGATCTACGAAGGGCACCATTTCATTGGTTGTTATTCCCGGACGTATTCTAATGAGTTTGAAAAATTGACAACGTCGGATTAGGAGCTAAGTGGGCACCAGGTTAATGGACAAATTTGTATGTGCGCTTCTCACCGGCGCACCGGAAATTCGATGGAATTGCTCATCATCATCATCATCATCAACATCATTATCGTGTACGTGTTAGTTGATGGAAAATCGAGAAAACGGGGGGAAAAACGCTAAAATAAGCTCGGTAATCTAGAATTATCAAAAGCCGCGCGCCCATCGAAGAAAGGGGGATATCTTTTGTTGTGATCCGAAATTCTCGTAAATATTTTTAGAATGAAACTTTGCATCTTATTCGATTATTAAATACATATATTCATAATAATTGCGAGAATTTGAAAAGTTCAAAAATCGCTTTTATCTTGCCTGTTTCATCTCCATGAGCCTATAGTAATCTGGTGCCTAAACATAGACAAAAATAATTCAGGGTTCCATAAAACTAAAAATAAGTTAAAATTCAAATTGAATGCAATACGAAACGGTTCAAAATTGTACATTTTGGGATATTCTTAAACTGATTTTCATTTCTCTCAAGTAAACAATAATCTTGAAGACCGATGAAGTAGTACGCCTTAACATCAAATATAAGTGGGTTCAATAACGATATGAATAAATCATGATCATCTCCGGTTTTGATATTCAGTCCTCCATATGTGAGACATCTGTTGAAACATACACATATCGCATGCCCTACTATACCAGGTAGTCCGTCATCCGACAATTAATCGAATACTAAATTAGGATGCCAATCGCATGCTTATCGTATTATGAATTCTCGATTTCCAAATCATCATGCAAACAAAATAAATTGCGAAGAAAATTGGGGCGAGGCATTGGTGAAGAGATGACAGTTGCCAGCACACCTTTTGCCATTCGCTACCGTATACCAAATATTCGACGTATTTATTCATGAGCTTCTGACACGCGAGATTGCTGTCTTACTTTTAAATATGCTTGCTTGCAATGCCTATTCATCAAAACAATTATTGGGGCTGAAATCTCAATGAGGGAGCTAATGATAATTTGGCTGACACCCCAAAAAAAAAAGCGAAACAGATGAACTTGCACGCGCCAACTGTACGATTCCGTCTCGAACAGCTGTCGGACATTTGCGCGTCTTGAAACAACATGGCGATTTTTGTAAAAAAAAATCATCATCAAAAAATTTTTGCACAGCATTTGTGTTCCAGGTGTTGGGCCAAATGATATCATTCCATAAAGTTCATGAGATCTCTTCAATGTGTAAAAAAAACTTTGAAGGCCGGGGGGCTTGAGGCGCACAAAAGATGCCACACAATGTTGAATTGGCCGACGCACTTGTCTACGCCGACAGCGAGGGCGCCTCCCGTGCCGTCGATAGCTCAGTTGGTAGAGCGGAGGACTGTAGATTGGTGGGCATCCTTAGGTCGCTGGTTCGAATCCGGCTCGACGGAATCGTTTTTTGTCGGTTTCATTAAATGTTTAGTGAATGTTAAAAGTTAGAATATTTAATGGCAAAGATGACCCATTGAAACAAATGTACTTTACAGCGAAGAATCTTATTGAAAAAAATTCTGGAAATGGTATGCCAAACAAAATTTTTTGAACTATTTTTCATGGTTCGATTATACTGAAAAAAGAAATAATTAATTTTGACTTACAACTTAAAACTGGAAAAAACTATTGCGGATTTAATGCAAACCACTTATCCGTATAAATTAAAATATAATAAGAGAATAATGTAAATCAAAAATATGAAGATTATTCATGGAGCAATTGATAAGCTGTATTATAGGCACAAGAGTGAATATTTTATTATTTGAAAAAATCTATAATAACTTAGAAGCTGATTTCATGAGCACACTATGCAAATTTTTGGTCTTTGACAGTCCTCAACTCTAATCTCGTTTTGCGTTATATATGATATAGGATAATACGGATTTTCTGCAGGTCGCATGAGAAAAAAAAAACTAAGCAAAATTGGTAAAAATCGAAATTAATAAGAAACAAAAAATTTGCTAAATTATTGAGTGTAGAAAGCTTAAAAAAAACTTGCAAAAAACATTCCGTCGAGCCGGATTCGAACCAGCGACCTAAGGATGCCCACCAATCTACAGTCCTCCGCTCTACCAACTGAGCTATCGACGGCACGGAGGCCACACTTTGAAACGCCGTATTCATGCGTGGCAGCCCCAAGGCAGTGTGTGTATGTGCGATAGAGAAAAGAGGCGGTGACGAGGCGTAGACGAATGCAGGCAATGTGAGAACAACGGTGTCGGGAAGAAAACCGAAAATATAAGTGAAAAAGGACCTCATAATTAATTTCCCATGTTAGCAATACATTTTCCCATTCATTCCATTACAATAGTGGAACCTAATTTTCCATTAGGCACGAAAATTGTGGGTATGTTTTTTTTCCCAGTCCTGACAGTTATATCAATAGGCTTTCACAATTGTGCGCATTGATTACTCATGTTTTTTTTTCTCGCTCTTTTTTTTTGCGGATTCTTGATGCATTGTGTAAATGCATAGCCATTTGAGAACGGTACAATAATCGAATTGCATTGTGCTCGCCGTTAGTCGAGCGTTTCGTTTGCTAAGTTGTATGCACATTGGATGGAAAAAAAAATAGAAAATACGATTCAAGATACTGTAAAAGGGAAAATTGGTGAAAAAAAGGGGGGAAGGGGTCTCTTGAAATGTCGACACTAGAATTACTCCAGAGATCCGATCAAGTGCATATATTGGAATATAATTGATAAATAGCTATACTGCAAAGAAGGTCTGGATTTAAGAAGGCTTATATTCAAATATTCGAATTCTCACGTGGAGAATATTATATACGTAGCTGTAATTGATTTCAGCAATCTTGTTTTTATGTGTTTCAGATGATCCAGTTCCAATAAAGTTTAGTGACATTATGTTTTAAATGCTTCCGCCATCAAAATGAGTTAAACTGAGAAAGTATAAACGCTAAAGAAACATTAAGGCGGTTTATCTACTTCTCTTGACACAATCAGATATTTTTATCAATTTTCTCGAAACAGTTGTTGTTATTAAACGAATATTTGTCATCCGTTACCATTTCATCAAACTAGTAAACCATAATAAATGTGCAAAAATATTGTTAATGATGGTTAGAATTACTGAGGATTGGTGACTTACCACTATTCATTTAGAGCGATAAATTTTTTTTCGCAACGACGACGAAACAATGGAGGGCGAAAATGTTTGTGCGATTGAAGAAAAATGAACACACGGATAGAAGGTCGCGGATATCGGAACAGGAGTTCGGACGGAGCCCCCAGAACGCAACATGGATGTATGTGTGTGTGTGTTTCTCGTACGCTTAACTAACAACTGACCTCAATGATTGAGATATCTCCACAGCCAACAATAAGACAAAAAAAATGGTGTGCAATGCAAGAGAAAAAGCAAAGGGAAAGAGGGCAAGTCACAATGAAGTATCTGATTCGTTCAGTGACACCTTCAGAAGTACTGATTTTGTGGCGTCGTCATGCCATCGCGAAAGTGGCTATGTAAAAGTTTGCGCATAGACATCGGACTGGAAGCATCGTAAGAGGATATTCGCGATTATCTTCATAATACCATATCAGGATGCCTTTTGTTTTACTCATACGTATATACACATCCATATATAAATAATTTAACAAGCGAAATTTCTGGAAATGGCAAATAAGATTTCGGTGAAGTTTAAGCGTCATCGGTGAGCCGCAAGAGGAGTAATCACAAAAACCTAGGATTTGTCACGCAATGGTTTTTGGGGCTCTTTGATGCCAAAATACACGGACAAGATACCAGTTTTCAAGTTGAAATGCATTAGATAATGTGATCTCAACGAAATTGCGAATCATCCCTCATTTTCCATCATTTTTCTTTCAATTTTTGCAGCCGCAAAAAAAAGCTATTTTTTGTTCAAATTCCACACAACGTCAAATCAATTGCTCAGAATCCATTATTAGGTTGAGCGAATTGACTCCATCATTCATCATCATCGAGAATGCAACCAAAATTTGGCATAATTATCTTTTGTGTATACATGCATAGTTAAAACCATATGCAGCGCATCCACATCCGTCTACGGGTTTTAAGAGCAGAAAAAAAGTGAGCCGAGCATGATGAAGTGGAAAACAGAAAGACCTAATGTTGTGTGCGGTTAACCAAAGAAAAATAAAGTGAGACGTGAACGTATTATTCCGAATTGCACCAAATTATATGTTAATACCAGGTGAGTTTCTGACATCAATTAAGTGATATCACATTTAACTGCTGCTCATGGTTGCAATTAACAAAAAAAAAGAAGAGTTGTGCTAGTTTTTAAAGGTTCCAGAGTTTTCGATGAAAAAAATAATTAATTTTTTTAATGAATGAATAAAAAACCACTTGGTATTAGGGAAGAGTTGGGTGTGATTAATAAAGACAAGGTCCCTTATTGATAAGATTGGACAATTTACAATTGGAAGGGCCCAAACCCTCTATTGTCAGTCTTCATATAGAGCAAATAAATTAATCAATTAGACATTTTCTGGAAAATGGTACCTTGCATTTTCTAAACCTTTAATAGTTCCCAAATTGGTCTCTTAAAGACAGTTAAACTGGATTACTGTAATTTGACATATCACAAAAAATTCTCTAAAATTATACTTGACTA